GCCCGATCACCACCAACACCCAACAATTGGCTCGCGTCCGTCAATTCATAAGCTTCTCGCCGCACGACGACCATCACCAGGCTCCCAATTGGGGGCGTGGGTCATACAGCCGGTACATGCACTGGATGGTGCCCTCTGCCTCTCATCGGGGTAGCGACAACCGGACAAGAGTGTAAGCCTAGTAGGCACTCTGACATTACATCATCTCGCCCGATCACCACCAACACCCAACAATTGGCTCGCGCCCGTCAATTCATAAGGCTTTCACCGCACGACGACCATCACCAGTCTCCCAATTGGGGGCGTGGGTCATACAACCGGTACGTGCGTTGTTGCGGTGCCTCCTCGCCAATCAAATCGGGTTGTACATAGCAGCAAATTTAATCACCGCCGAACCCACCAACTAGCAAGGCATTAATCGGTCATCGTTGTCGAATCACATAGCAGCAACTAAAATCGCCGCCGAACCCAACAACTACCGAAGACGCGCGCCATGATTGATCCCCACCTTTTCACCGCACGACGACCATCACCAGGCTCCCAATTGGGGGCATGGGTCATACAGCCGGTACGTACGTTGTTGCGGTGCCTCTTCGCCAATCAAATCAGGTTGTACATAGCAGCAAATTTAATCACCGCCGAACCCAACAACTAGCAAGGCATTAATCGGTCATCGTCGTTGGATCACATAGCAGCAACCGAAATCGCCGCCGAACCCAACAACTACCGAAGACACGCGCCATGATTGATCCCCACCTTTTCACCGCACGACGACCATCACCAGGCTCCCAATTGGGGGCGTGGGTCATACAGCCGGTACGTGCGTTGTTGCGGTGCCTCCTCGCCAATCAAATCGGGTTGTACATAGCAGCAAATTTAATCACCGCCGAACCCAACAACTAGCAAGGCATTAATCGGTCATCGTCGTCGAATCACATAGCAACAACCGAAATCGCCGCCGACCCAACAACTACCAAAGACACGTGCCATGATTGATCCCAACCTTTTCACCGCACGACGACCATCACCAGGCTCCCAATTGGGGGCGTGGGTCATACAGCCGGTACATGCGTTGTTTAGATGCCCTCGCCGCTTGTAGAGTCAAGAAGACAACCAGGCACTCCCGATTATGGCCGCAGTGGCATCACATTATCCCAATCGAGCCGCAAGCAACCCGACAGTTTCGATTATAGCCACAACGACCATCCCCATGTTGGGTTCTATTAGGAACATCGACAATGTGCACATTCAAATCTATTGAATAATAAATCCTAACGCAGCGGAATCTATAGTTAGGATTAGGACTTACGGTTTAAAATTTTTGCCGACTCTGAGACGTTTCTGATTTCCGTTGATGGAGATCGTCTGAACACCAAAGTCTAATGGGCGGCTAGACTTGGCCTTTCTCGATTCTAATCGAGTCACCATGGTGCTCGAATCGCTCATCAAGCTCATCGGATCGTCTCGGACCTTAGGTAGGTGAATCGGACTCCTCGTACCGCTCCGGAACCATCTTGGACTCGAACCGGGGTTTCTGGACCAAGTTGAACCGGCTTGGACCTTGCTGACCACGTCTGGACTGGTCTGGACCGCTCTGGTATGTTGTTGGACCGTTCTGAAGCTTCCTGGACCGCCTGGTAGCTGCTGGACTGCTAGACCATGCGCTGGGCCGCTTGGAGTGCATCTGGGCCGCGCACAACAACATTGGGCCAAGGAAACTCGCTGCAGAACTGGGCCTTCACGCGGACTGTGATGTGAGGGCAGCGCGGGCCTGGTGCGGGTTTGGACGCGGGCTGGACTCAGAGGGAAGCGCGGGCCGTATGCGGGCCAGAAAGCCCGCGCGCTGGAACCAAAAAAATACTCCTATTTTTGCAAGGAGAAGGAATCGAACCCGCGACGTCGCATGGAGAAGACAGCCCCGCACGCCATCACGCTACACATGGTGTTGCGTTAATTCAACGCTTTCCTTCAACAAAGTACGAACAGATCTGGGAATATATTTATTCGACGGTATACGAACAACAACCTTTGAATCTTCTATTGTATAACCTTTACACGATCTCTAATAAATCTTGGTGGAGCGATTTATTAGATTTCCCAAAACCTCTTGATCATCTTCTTCTAAGACCTTACGGTGCTAACCGAATTTTCTTTCGAAGAAGAATCTCTCTCTTTCTTTCTCGCTTGAAGAGGCCGAATTTCTCCAGCCCTTCGGGGAGAAAAACGTGTAAAGCTTGTCCAAGAGGTTAGGGGACTTAGTGTATTTATAGGCTACAATAGGGACCTAAAGGAGGTGCTAAATATGGGCTTATTCCTTTAGGTTTAGGAATCCTTATTATCTTCCATCTCCTTTTCCCATCTAGGATAATATTCCTAATAATTAATTACCTTCTAAAAGACTCCATAGTCTCCTAACCCTAGGTAATATTCTAGAAGGAAGATTCTCATCCTTAGGGAATTATAGAATATAATTAATTCCTAATTTAGGAAACCTAATTCTACTCCAATTAATAATCTAATGTAGGAAATATATCTCCTACTAATCTTCATCTTCTAGAAGACTCCTTAGTCTCATAATCCCTAGAGAAGATCCTAGTAGGAATATTATTTTCCTAATTAAATTAATTAATATGGAATAAAATTAATTCCTAATTCCTAATCTTGGAATTAAATAATAAAACATTCCACTAGAGTAATATTATTGCTCTCCCCATTTAGCTCCGAATTACAATTAATTCGTTTCCATAGATTAAATATATTAATCCAATTGATCGATTTATCTCCCCATGTTTAAGATATAACGTCCGTTGATTAATTAAATTACTGACAAAATAATTAATCAACTTCTTATTCATTTCCGAAACTAGTACCACTCAGATCCTTAATCATTATGTCGGATAACACATCCGCCTGCAGGGCTTGACATAATATTCCTTCCTGAGCTCATTTCGGGGACGTCATCAACCCAGCGCACTGGGACACAGTGACTGTAAATAATTTATAACGGCACATCATGTAAACACACTTATTTACCAAAATACCGAGTATGTCATCCTAGTAGAATAGGAATCACCCTAGATAAATCAAATAAATAAGTAATGAATACATATGCCCATTTTATATTATCTTACAGCTTAAGAGTACGCATCAATTACTGAAGGTCTAGATTACAACAACGGTCAGTGAGTCTCATAATCTTATCCTTCCGTGGTCCTGTTCAACACTTAACATAAGTGCTAGTGTAATCCTTCAGTCAAAGACCAACTGAATCAAGAATACACTACAGTCTTTTTCCAAGTGGGGTCTCACTGCCAGTCTAGACTGTGAACGAATAGTTTAGTCTTATAAGGAACCGATAGGTGATCTTTCTGTTCGAAACTC